CATTCTGTGAAGACTTTTGAGAATTCTATATCTGTCATCTATTTATAATTTGGTGGTAAGATTTGCTTTTAAATACACCGTAATATGAAGTAATATTACATATACCCTTAAAATAGTGACCAAGAAGGTGTCGTTTTAATCATATTTCAGGAAATTCCTGCTTACATGGACTAATTCCTTTATCGAACAAATTTACAATCAAGTTATGACAAAATTGTACTTTTCCTCGAGCGGGGTCACTTTTTGGATGAATAACAAAAGGAAGTTTTGGCTGATCGTCGAAATTCTTGTCGTATTTGGTCATTTTTTGTATCTTAGCAATGTTAATGTGTAATTTTCAATGTGTCCTATTGGCTGATTCCATTTATATAATCGTACCGGTTTATTATTATACGAGATTTTAATTCTGCTTTTGCCTTCAATTGATGATGGTGATGTAGATTATGAGTCATAAAAATATTATTGTTGATCTATCGGGGTATTTTTATCTTTTGAGTCTGAAGTTCTTGTACTGTTGTTCTTTCTGATTCTGAAACTGCGTTACGTGTTTTTGAAAACCTTCTTTTAATAATTCGTTTTTGTTTTGTTGTTATTGTCTTTTTTGATGTTTGTCTTTTTGATCTGAAATATCCTATTGTTTTTCTGTGCGGTGTGATTATAAGATCACATATTCCGTTTCTTATTAAGCAATTGTGTAATATGGTTGCTTGTTTTTTGCCTAAACTATCTGATGACATAAGGTTTGAGATGATGGATGCAATACTCGGAGGTTTGAGTTTTTATTTCTTAAATTGTTCTTTCTGACGGTTTTTGTGTGGTTATCTTAACATGGGGCATAGATGGTTGTGATTGACGGGTTGGAGAGAGAGTTTATCAATTCGTTTAGAATAATTTTTTACTTTCTCGTAACTAGTTTTTAATATAAAATGAACTTACCTAATCTTACCTTGGGGTTTTATTTGTGATCAAGGGTTGGAAAATAGTAAATGAGGTATAATTTATACACAAGTAGATAGTTTGGTATTATTTTAAAACTTACAGTTATTTTTAAAGTTTGAGTCTGGGTCATCTAAGAGGAAGGGCTTAAGTGAAGGATGAGTAGCCGGAGCTCTTCACTGTTTATCCTAACTAAAATCGTTAGTTTTTCAAAAGTTTCTATTAATCTTTGGTCTTTAATAAGGGTTGGAGAGTGAATCGACGTTTGAGGTCGTTAAACACTTTAAACTATGAGGTAGGAACAACAAAGTTGTTCTGATTCATCCAAGGGAAGCCTTGATGAACAGATAATTTAAGTTAAATACAATTTAATTTAAGTTAAATTAAAGATCCAAGGGAAGCCTTGATGATCTGTTTTCGAAATGAAACGTGGTTTATTTGAAAAGCAAGGATAGGCGTTGATAAATTTTATTTTTTAAATTTAAGTTAAATTAAACTTTTAAGAGTTAGAAGTCAAAAGCTATTAGTTTTTCGATTAAATTTGGTTATGTTTCAGGTGATGAAGGTGGGATGAAGAAAAAGTGATTGCTTGAGAAGCAAGAAAAATTTTATAAATTTAATAAAAATTACTTTGACCTCTGTTCGTCACGCAATCTGATTTTTGGACGGATAAATTCGTGCAACTTAGCTTCTACTCTCAATAGATCTAGTGTATACTGGTGTTTACGAGTTAGTTCTTGGAGTTTATCCAGAAGGAGAACAACTAGTCTAAGATTTATTCAAATTTTTCTGATGCTGAAACTACAAGTAGTTTCAGCTCTTACAAATACGGGTCAATGTTGGTGATGGAATATGATTGGTTAGTTTGTAATATTTTATAGAGATCGTTTTATCAAAAATATTATTGATTTATAAATACTAGTTTAGAACTGGTTCCACTTGAGTAGTGAAGGATCTGAAATCCACTCAATTTCTCATATCTCCCATTTCAACTGTCCTTATTCAAAATTTCTTTTAGCTCGTGTCATTCGTACGATTTGAGACCCTATTTCGTGTTGCTGTTGACCTTCCTGTTCTACACTGTGACGGGAGTGATTCTGCTGAATCTGCTGATTGCCATCTTCAGCGACACCTACTCCAGAGTGCGGGAGAATACCTCCTTCTATTGGAATTATGTCTTCTACGAAAGGACTGTCGAGTATTCTGGTCTGTAAAAGCCCTGTCACACTGAATGTTTATTCAATGGAGTATTCTTATTTTTGATTTTCCGAATCGGAAAACTGATACCCTTCTAGTGCTACTTCTAAATTCGTCACGGATAATAATTGTAATGGCTCCCCGGGTCGAGATCCCGCTCAAAAACCGCTCAAGATATGAGCGGTTTGAGCGGTTTTCCAGCAAGATTTGAGCGGTTTGGGCGGTTTTTTTTGGAAAAACCGCTCAAACCGCTCAAACCTTGCTTAAAAAACCGCTCAAAACCCGCTCATTTCTTGCGGTGATTTGTGAACGGTTTTTCAAGCAAGATTTGAGCGGTTTCTAAGCAGTTTTTGAGCGGTCTTATAAAGAAAACTGAGTAAAACCAACAAAAAGGCCTGGAAAGGTAATGTGACGCTAAGATGCAGTTGAAATACTATCTACAACACAAGTTGACCTCCATAAATCGAAAATGTTTATCTTACATTTCCCCACAATTCCCCAAAATGCTAATCAAACAATTGCCTACAACAAATGTATGGAAAAATGCTAATCATACAATTTTCATACAATTTCAAAAAACCATTGGAAAAAGATTCAATCTAGTTTCTCCGGCTATCATATATCAGATCATCGGGTCGGAAGTCAGCCAATCCATGGCGCCGAGAAGCACATTTCTAAACTATTTTACATAGTAAATCAGTGCAGAAATGTGCATCTGAGCGCCGTCGCTTGGCTGACTTCTGACCCAGTCATCTCATATATGATTCCGATGGTGGCCTAAAAAGTTGATTTTTCGCATTTGTGTAGAAGTTCTAAATTTTGATCAGAAATCATGTCACGGAACTTTAATTACGTATGTGTTGAATATTTTCTGTTTTCTAGCATGTGTAAAATTTTGTTTTTATAGGAAATAGATGTATGTACGTATCTTTGTATATATCTATGAGAGTTTTTTTTATATATATAAAAAAACGCTCAAAAAACCGCGCAAGATTTGAGCGGTTTGAGCGGTTTTTTTAGACAATTACGCTCAAAATCTTGCTTCTAAATGAGCGGTTTGAGCGGTTTTCGAACGGTTTATCTAAAAAAAACCGCTCAAAAACCGCGCAAGATTTTTAAGCGTTTTTTTAGATAAACCGCTCAAAACCGTTCAAATCTTGCGCGGTTTTTGAGCGTTTTTTTAAGATAAACCGTTCAAAAACCGCTCATTTTGAAGCAAAATTTTGAGCGTAATTGTCTAAAAAAACCGCTCAAATCTTGCTTCAAATTAGGTGAAAAATCTCGACTCGGGTCGAAATGCTTGTGTTTTTCCAAATTATAACATTTTAGTTAGAGTGTGACCTCAAAAGAGTTCCGATATGTGGTGTGAGACCCTTTACTGTTTTTGTTCGAACGCTGTAGTTAAATAAGGCTTAGGGGCAGATCTAGGATTTTCTCGAGGGAGAGAGGGGGGCGGATTTTCAAAAGATTTCGGATAATTTTGTCGACCTTTTTTTCTACGTTGATCAAATTGATTTTTCGAGCTCTCCCAAAGCAATAAAAAACCTTGTTTTGGCCAAAATTTTGAAAAAAAACTGGCAAAAAGGCGTTTTTAGGCACTTTTTGGAAAATTTTAACCTAAAAAATGCGTTTTTTTTGGCGCCCGCTTCAAATTAGTATAGATTGGCGCTAAAGGCACCCTAATAAAGTTTTTAGGGTCCGTCACCAAAAATAGTTCAAAGGGGAGGGACCCTTTGAGTCAGAAGGGGGTCGAATCCCTGAAAAGGGGCGTCCGCCCCCCCCCCCCCCCCTAAATCCGCCCCTGATAAGGAATGTATAGATTATCGGTCCATCAAATAATTCTGGTTTCCATAACATATCATCACTTTCGAATCTTATGTTTTGCCACATGTTTCTTCCCCCTTCAAATTTACAGAGGAATTTTTTTCGGATTTTCTCGTTTACTTTTCGGCACATTTTTCATTTTGTCGTCGCAAAAGTTCACATCCATTTCGCGTCTAATTTGTCTCTGGAAAACTTTTGGCTTGGTGTTGAAATTTTAATAACTAAAAAAAAGAGAAGTAGCCTATCACCATTTTGTCACCGGCACTCTAAAATTTCACATTGTGTTCTGAAATTTTGACAGCCATGCTAAAAGAGATGATGTTTTATGTTTGTTGCCTGAGGTTGAGGTAACATTTCCCAGCCAAAAAAATAATCCGCTTTTTTGGACTTAATAAAGGTAACAAGGGTGTAACTTTTTTCTCACAGAGCTGAACAGATTGTAAGTTGATCCTTTTCCTCATGTGAATGGTCTAGTGTGAAAACCTCTTTTCTTTTTAGGCAGAGGCAGTCTACCTTGTCCCCTTTCGCTCTTTGGTCGACTGTGGCAACTGAGCACTTATGTCTCATCTAAATGTCTACATATCACCACTTCGTGCAACAAACAGTCCAATGATGAGAATGAAGAAGCAGTGTTGGCTGAGAAGAAGTTAGGCGACTACGTATCTCATGAGGGACTTAGAAGATGGGCTCAGACTGTAGAGGATAAATACGTAGTCGAAACTTATTATAGTTGATCAGATGTTTATGACACGAACTCAACCTATTTAGCAGGAAATAAATCTTTCCCAAATTCCTGCTAAAACTAAAGGATGCTCTTCATATTTCAACTTCAGAAAGAATATCACAGAAGCAATGTTATGATAAAAAACTGAGCACTTAGGCTCAGTGAATGAGAATAAAAATTAGAGGATGATATAAAGAAGCCAAAAATTCTAATTTTTGTTAAGAATAATATTTTCCGAAAAGTAGTTTAACAACCGATTCAGATAGTTGCATAATAAATTTGATTACACTAGCAAACATTAGTGCGCGTTAGTGTTATACCACGACTATTCTGTTTTTTTTAAACCAAATCCTGGAGCCACTTTTGGTCGCAAATATTGATGCCACTCTAGGGGCACTTTTACGGCTTTTTGATAGCTTGTGCTTGGACATTCTGATAGTAATAAACTAAAACAGTTGATAACTTTTACATTCGTGAATTGAACCGAACAAAAGCTATTTGTTGCAAGCAAGATAATTTTACTAAAACTCGATTTCAGAATTTTTCTAACTCAAAATTTTTAAATAATGTTGCTTTATGTTTCCCGATTTATTACACGCAAAAAAGTGTAGATGCCTTCAGTTTGTTATTTTCCAAACTAATACTTGTGTCTAGCAAAATTGTGTCTAGTTGTATTTGGTGCCACATTTGCTATAGCATTGGCAGTTTGTTACCATATGTAGCTGCTTTATTTGTGAGTAGTGTTCGCCAGTTGTTACGCGATCGTACCCGAGAGGTCAAGGCGTGAGACTCCAGGTCGAGATCGGAAGTTCGAGGCCACACTAATTCGAAGCTTATTTCTATTTTTTTCTTATTTCACTTTGAGGAGCTGATTTTTTGTCGTGCTTTCGCTAGTGTTCGCCTCTGTGTTCTAGTTTACTATAAAACCGGTTTTACTGACTTATCTTAACTATCCAAACCTTATCTCCCAAAATTTTGAGATCAGTTTGTTACTTTCTTACAAAAAAAGCTCAGGATTAGGACCAGTAAGACAATTTGGAGGAATTCGACCCCCTGGCTACCAACTGTCAAAAAAGTGCCTAAAAACTCCGCAAAATGTTGGCTGAAACAAAAACTAACAGACGAATTTTTGTAAAAACAGGCCAAAAAATACGTGTTATTCCTCTCTTATGGCATAAACTAAGGATCAGTCAGCCAAAACATGAAGCCGCAAAATGGCAACAAAAGGTTGTGATGGGAATTGAGTTTTAAAATTAAAAAAAAATGTTTTATTTTAATTTTTTGCACATTCTTTTGATTTTTAAAAAGCGTTCAGTAGCAAATAAGCGCCAAATGAAGCTCCAATTAATATATAAGGTTAGAAATGAAAAATTTAAATTGCTTCCATGCAGTTAATGTATAAGTTTGAATAGCTAACATAACCACACCAACAATATTACTGCTTAAACAGCCAAAACTAAATATGATTTGGAATTTAACCTGCAAAAAAACCTGCAAATTAAAAATTAATTTTTCGACCCGCAATTTTTATGCAGATTGAACTGAAAAGTGCCTCCAGCTGCATCGGTAACATTTTTTTTATGCTGTAATAAAATGGAGTTCGGAAACGGAAGCAAGTTGCAGAGCTGAAACCAATAGAGACGTCGGAAACAGATGGCAGGTGCTTCAGTACACATTTAGCTGATCAACTACAGAAATCAACGTATTTTCTGTTTTTAATTCGCTTCTTTCTCAATTTTCAACAAATAAGGTTCCGTAAATACGATCGTGGCTTCAGACGTGGCTTCAGACATGATTAGAATGAGCTTGCAGCATCATTTTGGAGCATTTGTGTACGTACAATTATTTTGAAATACAGATATTTTGTTATGGTTACCATCAGGATTCAGTTCGCCCTACGGAGTTTCTTCAGTCCGTTGTTATTTTATGCTACAAAAAGATAATTCTTAACTCTGCTCTTAGCAAACCTGGTGTTCTGAAAATAACTTTTTAGGCCAGATTATTTTAGGTGCATTGTCTCTCTGATTTGGCTTGAAGTGGATGCGGGATCTGCGGTCACGTGGTTCCAGAGAGGTATAATGCTGGAGGCGAAGTTGATGCCGGAATTCGAGCCGTTCATCGAGGAGTACCTTGACCCCACCTCGGAGCAATTTAACGCAGTCAAAGTTCTACTAGAACACGAGGTGACGTCGCCAAAAACTTCGCTACCCGGGTCGAGGTTTTAGCTTATTTTGGGCCGAAATGTTCGAACCAGATGTCATTGTGAGACCTAAAATTCATATAGTCGCGCAGAGCCTATAGTCGAACTGAAGTGAAACATAAAGCCGATTCAAAATTTATTCTGCGTTCTATCAAATGGAACCAGATCTAAACTACATTTTATGATTGGATAAATTAGATATTTCACCACTGTAAAGTATTTAATATTAACCAATCATGATCCATCTAACTAACAACCCACTTATTTGTAAGTGCTGAAATTACTTGTAATTTCAGCACCAGAGAGATTTGAATTTAACTTAGAAATTAGTTGCCTCTCCAAGAGAACTTCAGCAGCCGCAATAAACCAGTATACCCTAGATCTATTGAGCCTAGCAGAGACTAGTTAAACAACCTGAGACTAGATAGTATAAGAGTAAGATTAGGATCGGTATTAGACTAAGAAGTTGCACGAATCTATCCGGCCGAAAATAAGATAGCGTGACGAGCAGACGGTGTACCCTATCCGAAATTACTCTATGAGTTAACCACCTCGGTCCTAACTCATCTGGTGCGACCATAAGTCTCGAACAAGACCTTAATAGCTTAGAATTAACCAAAAATAGATTAGAATCTAGACAAAACATTTTTAAAATGTTATACGACGATAATTTAATCGAAATGTCTCTACGACTCAATAGATCAGAGCCAATATTCCGAACGATAACAGAACTACCCGGAATTGCAAGAAGACCTCGAACCAGAGACGACATACGACAAAATAGAAACTTACCAAATAGTTATATGATAGTACGGCAAAAGCCAACACAAACTTTTATATTTAGAATTTTATTAGCAATGAATTTAGATTTTCATTTACAAACATAAAATTTTGAAGTCAATCTTCATAATCATTTCAGGCGCTAAAACAAAACTATTAATATACAATAACGATTGATAAAAAGATCTCAGATCGTTTTCCTAAAATTCTGCAGTATTATATAAAACATGTTTGGAAAATATTTATTGAAAATCAAAACAAAAATTAGTAGCATGACAATAAACTGTTAGTAATCATAAAATCATCCAATTGTCCCAGCTTCATCACCTAAAACATAACAGCAATCATAAGCTCACTAATATCATTAAAACACTAAATCTTTTTCTTAAACAAATTTAAACCATTTTAAACTTAAATTCACTTAATTTTAAAATCAGATCATCAAGGCTTATCCTTGGATCTTAATTCATTTTCTATTTAATTAAATTTTAAAACTTGATCATCAAGGCCTATCCTTGGATCAAACAGAACAATTTTGTTCTCCCCCACCCACTTAGCTAGTGTCTAACGACCTCAAACGTCGATTCACTATCCAACCCTTTCTAAAAACCCAAGACTAATAGAAATTTTTCAACAAAATTAACCATTCAAATTAGGATAAACAGTGAAGAACTTCGGTTATTCATCCTTCACTTGAACCCTCCTCTTATCAAAACCCAGGATAAATCTTAGACTTAGTAAGTTCAAAATAGTATCTAACGAACTACTCGCGTTCTAATTATACCTGAACCTTGTGGATCGATTTACTATTCTCCAACCCTTGAACACAATCACTACCCCTAAGTAAGATTAAGTAAGTTAACACCTTAGCTTATACTAGCCACGAGAAAGTAAAAAATCATTCTTCGGAATCGATATACTTTTCTCTCCAACCCTGAAAAAATAGACCCAGGTTAAGCTAACCAAAAAATCGTAAGGACTAACAGGTTAAGAAAATAGAAATCATCTAACAACTTTTTGCATCCGTCATCCTAAACCTTATGTCATTTAAAAATCTAGGAAACAAACAAACAATCGTTTTACACAACTGTGAAATAGATAACAAAAAATACGATCTTGTAATCACACCTCATACACAAACAGTTGGATATATTAGAACAAAACGACAAACACTAAAAAGAAAAATCATAAACAACCGAAGACAAATCACACGAAAAAGATTTTCCAAAAGTAGAAACGCATTTTCAGAATCAGAAGCCAGCAATTTAGACGAACTTTATAAATTAAAAGAATCAATTGATAAAAATTGTCCCATTCACGATCAATTATATTTTTCAGACTCAGAAACAACTTCAAATTCATCAAAAAGAGGAAAAAGAAGAATAAAAAAGCAATATAAACACAAACCAGTACACTTATATAATTGGAATCAACCAATTAGACACATCGATAATTACCTATTAACAGTCATTAAACAAAAAAATGAGCCAAACACACACTCCAAGTGAAGATAGTCCAGATGATGACGATATCTTCCCCTTCCTCGTAGATGCAACCAATGATAGAGGACAGCATATATTTTGCAAGAATTTACTCCTAAATTTGTTTGAACCCGGAATCAGCCCATGTAAAACAGAGTTCCCAGATGTAAAAATCAAAAGACAAATTATTGATCACTATCTGAAAGATATATGTAATTTGACACAACACTACGGAATCTACACCATAGAATTCACCTCACCAAACCCGAATCACCGCAAATATGTAATTCAAACAGACGACCTTGATTTAGAATTTTCAAAAGTATTCTCAGAATATATAAAAAGCATACAAAATCATAACTCACAAAGAGCAAACTCCATATTTACTAATGAAATTTTTGCAATAATATATAGTTATATCTCAATATTAGAAAACGAAATCCCAATCCCAAATGTCTCACCGACAGAGACATCTAAACATATAAGGATACGACATGAAATCACACTATTTTCAACTTTCCTACATATAATTAAAGAAAATTTCACTAAAGATGAAGTTTCACAACATACAAAACATGACTTACAAAAAATTTTGGCATGGTTTATAATAGATTATTTCACACATAATATAGATTTGATTTCACAAGCAAGAAAAAATTTTAGACCTCAAAATTCAAACGATGATACCGCCATCACAGAACAGTCAGACTACATTTGGGACCCCGAATGGTCTCATTATGCATTCATAAATTTCCCACAATCAATTTCAAGTCAAGCAATAAGTACAATATCTTATACAAGAGATTATGTAAGAGTAGTACCATTAACCATTGACGCAACACCATTAAACTACAATACATTTTTACCTGATACTCGAAATAACAGTTTAAACTCGACCGTCATACACAATGAAAACCTTAATGGAACTAGGAATCTCACTCAACAAGATATTCAGACACCATCACACTTCATAAATGAAGAAATTGTCCAAACAACAACAACTACACAACAAAGTATTTCACCGATACGTCCAAATTTAACAACACCAAGAAATACAAACACTTCACTAGCACAGGTAACCTTACAATCAACCGTTAAACCTTCGGTTGCTCCAAAATATTCACAAATGGATTACCAAACATATAGACCCTTGACAATACCGTCAAAAACACGCAGAACGTTCACAAGAAGCAATTTTGCGGAACATAATTATAATTATACACATTCATCAAAAACAAACTATCCTCCACGAAAAAATAATAACAATCAAATCGGATCTCGATACTGGGATAATCCAATGGCAACAACCAATTCAGTAAATTTTCAAACTAATTCACATCCTCCACAGGATCATAGTGAAAATTACCCATTCTTTCAACAGAATAAAAATAAAAAACAAGCACCTCATCAAACGGATTACCTATCCTCTGATGATGATTATTTACAACGAGATATATTTGCACCATATACCCAAGAATATCGCGGACAAGGAGTGCAGAAACCATATACACATCATAGAATTTTTTCTCCACACCAGATAGATACACAAAATCAACAACCAATACAAATGCAAAACCCAATTAATACACAATCCTTTCAACCAATTCAGCCACAAAACCCAATGATTACACACTCATATCAACCAACACAAATGCAAAATGAAATACCACTTCCATATTATCTTCAACAACACGAAATAACAAAAAATCAACTCTCAAATTTTTCACAAATGCCAAATGCAGCAGAATCATTACAAATGACAATGAATCCATACCTTATGGGTGGATCATCACTAACATCAAACAAACCATTAATGGTATTCACAGGAACAGACCCTGAATATTCTGTAGAAGATTATTTAAATGCAGTAACAGCAAATTTAACTTTAAATATAGGACCTGAACCAATTAATACGCCACTACATCAAAACTGGATACATCGACGCACAGCGTTGATACAGACAACCTTAGACGGCGCAGCCCAAAAATGGTTTTCAGTATTGTCTATAGAAATAAAATCAAATTGGAAGAGATTTACACAAGGATTTTCAAAAATGTTTGACTCCGAAAGAAACAAACAACAACAAAGAGTTTTATGTAATGAAATTCGCAGATTACCAAATGAAACCATCAAAAAATTAGCAGTACGTATCGAAACACTAGTTCGAAAAGCATATTCATTAAATACACACGACTATAAAAACACAAAAATGACAGAAATCTTAATGATGACCTTAACACCTCAATTAAGAAAAATAGCAATAAAAAAGAGAGCATCCCATCCTTCCTCAATCCGAGAACCCGATTTAGATTTTCGAAAACTAATAGACAAACTAGAGCAAGCGGAAATCACAAAGAAACTTGAAGAAACAGAAAATCAGAAATTACAATATGTTAACCGAATCGAAACAAATACCACAAATATCAACAATATACAGGAATCAGATACAGACCTCGTTGAAAAAATCACTGAAATACTCAATATTTATGAAAAACACCCAAACTTTAAAGGCAAACCATCTTTCAAAAAATGGTGTAATTATTGCCGACGATACGGACATAGTATTTCTGAATGTAGACAAAAACAACAAGATAATCAAAACAAACCTCAAAAATATAAAGAACCAAATAAATCATTCTATCAATACATGAAGAAAGATCAAAATCTACCGAACAAAAATGTATACAGCAACAACAGTTCAGGAAAACCACTTCCGAACAAT